CCCTCTTGTCATGGAGCACTGCATGTGTTGAGATAAGGGCTCCCAGGCACCAGGTTTTAGCACTGAAAATGGGAGGCTGAGAGGTAGATGCAGAGATAGACACAAACCAGGTGCTTCTGTCATTCCTGGAGCAGTAGTCTTTGAAACGGAGTTTTCTCTCACACCCTGCAAAGTCTTGACTCTTGCTTACCCCTGAAGTCTTCCAAGCCTTGATATCTGAACAGCAAATCCATGATTCTGCAAATAGATAAAATTTGGGCTGCAAGGAGCATTTACCAAAATAGGGATGAGTTTGATGTAACGGAAAGACAAGCTCAGAAAACAGCAGAGCCCAAGCAGTTCTTCATTTGCAGTTATCAACTCAGACCAAACAGTTGTGAAAATCATCACATTTCAGAGCTAGTTAGTGTCACTAAAATGCAGAAATTGACCACAAAGCCCCAAGACACGGTGCCATATCCTGAATGAGATCTCACTGTAAAGCTAGAACTGAAAAAGGAAAACAGTCTAATGCAGAGGGCAATGTATAATTTATTAGAAATATTAATGTGCATACAGCGGTGAAGAGCTTGTGCAATTCCAAAAGGTCCATCTCCCAATGTGTCTCCAGTCCCAATGGAGCAGTGGAAAGTTTTTGTGGGGAAATGGGCAGGGTGGAATTGCACGGACTGTGCACTGCCAGAAGGCACAGGGTCTCAAAGCTGGCTCAACTCTGCTTTCACTTAAATGTGGTGGAAACAGAAGGAGGGCAGGCAGTAGTTTCTTGTTGTAGGAAGGCACCAAGGAAATCAAGGACTGGAACAGCTCCTGCGTTGCACAATCTCGTCCCTGTACTTGCAGGGAAAAAAACTGAAAAAAACCTGTCTGATGGCAGCTTGAAAGTGACTTCAGTTCTGGCAGCCTCCACGGAGGGTGTCTGCCATCCGTCTCCCAGCACCCTGTGCCAAGTGGCTGCTTGCTCCCTAGCTGGCACCAAGAGTTTGTTCCCCTTGCCCACTATGTGAGAGAGGTTCAATCTCTTCAGGCCAGATGCAGTTGCTGCCACAAACAGGTCCATGCACAAAGTGCAGAATTCTTACATGTTTTTTGGGCTCCTTACCCAGCCCCTGTTAACATCATGCGGAGCTCCAGCATCATTCAAAGCACGACATTTTTCCCAACCACGCTCCCAGACAAAGCAGACCCAGCGTGTTATCTGCCTCGCAGGCCGAGGAAGACGATGATACCCCACAGACCTTACCAGGGCCTGCACTGCCCGCCTCCTGCCAGGAGGGGGTGCTGGAGCTGCGCGGGAGAGGAGAGAGGGGAGCGCCCGCCGCTCCGCCTGAGAAGGGAAAGGCAAGGGGGTGGGGAAAGGGAAGGTGGAGGAGGAAGAGGAGGAGGAGGAGCAAGGTGTCTGGGGGAGACAGGGAGCTGAGGGGGCTTCAGGATGTATGGGCAGGCGATGGCTGGCTGCAGGCTGCGCCCTCCGGTACGTGGAAGTGCCTGGCGCTGCAAAAGCTGCTGGCAAGCTGGGCTAAGAACATCCCCTGCCCGCAGAAGGTGCATGTTTTGGGAAACTGCTGATGGCGAAAGGTGCCTGCTGACAGTGAGACCAAGAGCAGAGAGGATGGGAGGGGAAGGGCCAGGGCAAAGACGAGGCTCCAGGGATGCTGCCCTTTCTCACCACGCTTTTGCTCCAGAAACTGCCCCTCACTCCTTTGGGGTTGGTGTTGTGAGAAACGTCGGCTCACACCTAGAATTTAGAGAGGACGAAGTCGCCGAAGCAAAGGTATAGAAATTTATTATACGAAACAGCGCTGAATCGGGTGCATCTCAAAGTAGAGGCACACCCCCTTTTGGTTTCTTAGGCCTCTTTATCCTTCTTATCCCGGCCGCCTGAGCCACTGTCTCCCTTCTCATTGGCTGAGAAGTTGGAGCTCACGTTCTTCCCGACCGCCTGACTAAGCACGTACACCTGTTCTACAAAATTATCATTCTAAACACCCCTATTCTAGTTGATTATGCTACTTGTTGCTTTGCAATCTTTGCCATCACCTACTGCCCAGTGTTAATGATTACAAGTACCCTGGTCGTCATATCTCCATCAGTGACCCTCCAGGTGGCCTTTGTCCACTTATCAGTCTGCCATGGCCTGGCTCTCTTCACCTAGATGATTTCCCGTAGACCAGGACCCCTGGACAGCCCCAGGGCGCTTCTAAGGATTAGTTGGGTACAATGGGTGAGGCTCCACCATCACCGGGCCTCCACCGTCAATACAGACATACTAACAAAAATATATCAATTAGCTGAAGCAAAACTCAGCCCATTTCTCACAGTGTTCACCTGCTGGCTGCCTGTGTGGTGCAAGATGGCACTAAGGTGACTCAGTCCTCCCTTGGGAGCTCTGAGAGCTGGCTCCATCCCAAGTACTGGCACCGCAGGTAGGGGTCCCTTGGCTCCTGGCATACCAGCCCCAAGGAGCAGGGCTGGGGTGGGAGAAGGCATATCCATCTGGAAGGAGCCTCTTTTTTTTTTTTTTTTTTTTTTTTTTTTTTTTTTTTTTTTTTTTTTTTTTTTACTTTTTTTCTTTTTTCTCCTAGGAATTTGGGCTGCCCAGAGAGTGAGGCCCAGTTTCAGCATTGCTTGTCTTTGCAGCCTGGAACTGCAGTCTCATGTCACTTACAAATCCCATGAAACCTGTGGAAAAGAAAAGGCAGGTTCTCAATCTCAAAGATTCAAGCTTTACCCAGGAATTCATTTTCTATCTCAGGGTGGATTGTTCTCATGCTTCATGGGTCAGCTGGTAAAATGGAGTATTCGTGTGTACTCCCTTCCCAAAATGTTGGAGAACGTGGCTGAATACAGACGGGGAAACAGAAAGCATCATCAACAAGCAAACAGTATTCTTTTTCTAATACCCTCCTCTGGTAGCCGAATAACTCTGGAAGCCAAAGACCAGGTAAGATAGGTCCTTACCTCTTGTCGTGATCTAGGCAGTGGGTGGGTGATGGTAAAGCAAGCATACATCATATTTCCCTCCAAGCAACTATTATGTAGCAGCAGAAACCCTACCCTTATAGCCATCTAATAGATTAGGTTCATTACCTCAAGGCAGCAGGCTAAAGCCTTATGAAAACAAGTTTCTCTCCTGACTGTGATACAGCATTGTCAAACAGAGCAGTGCCTGGACATGATCTCAGGCAATTACTATCAGAGCTGTCAACAGGCAAAGGCTTGCAGTCATGAAGCTGTTGTTCAGCAATGATGATGAATGATGTCTGAGGGTGCTGAGCCCTGTACAGGACCATAAAAATGTTGGAAAGCATGGGGTAGTCCTCAAAGAAAATTTTTCAGGGGTAGCTTTGTTGCAGAAAAATTTGAATCAGGCAGGATACCCGTGTTTAATCCACACTCAACTTTATGGCAGGTTGTGGTGCTGTCTGTCTGTGGCACTCCAGCCAAACATCCGCTGTGCTCTTGACACCAGCATTAAAAAAGGACCCTTACTGTGCACTTCGATGAGTTGTGTGATCAGGTGTGGATCTATGGATAGACTGAGCAGTCTGGTAATGACAGCAGCTGGTGACAACAAAACACCTCATTCAAGACAGTCTCTTGATAGCATTGTTGGTTCTGAGTTGCTTTCTCCAGCTGGGATGAGGGAAAATGCAGAGGAAATCAGCTACTTCTCCAGACCTGGCAGGTGAACACTGGCAGAGACGAGGAGCTAGCAAGAGTCCTTGCAGACTTCCCGTTCCCAGTAGTGGAAAAGGCAAACCCCCTGAACTGCTGCTGGTGGCCTGCCAGGGAGGTATGGACAAGGCAGGCTGCAAGTCCACATCAGCATGAATAAGGTGATAGAACACTACAAAAAGGTTACTTGTAGCAGCAATGTGACTTCGAGCCACACTGAAATGACATCTTTTCCATTAAAGGAAGCTGAATAATCTGATAAGGTTACAGCTGCCAGTTATCAATCCTCTGTGAGGACCTTAGATAAGGCAAATCTGAATCACATAGCTCATGACTGTACCGAAATCTGGACCACTGCAAGAAATGTGCTCAGCTGTTGCTGAAAAAAAACAGGCTTCCCATATAAAAGTCAGCAAGCAATTAAATTCCTCTAGATTACAAATGTGTATCAGTGGATGAAGGCAAACTCTGACAATATGTAAATACCCATGAACGGTTTTGTTTGCAACAAATGTGTGGGATTACTCTGCCAGTATACAGACAGAAAGAATAGTCAGAATAAAAATAAAAGCAGGAAGAGTTTGAGGTCTGGGCGCAAACAAAATGAATTTTGCATCAGTCTTTCTTGAACTTAAAAAGCTCATGCAAAAAGCTCCTCTTTGGAGAGAGATGGCAAAGTGACTTTCATTTGGGATGAAAACTGAGAAGATCCTGAGATCCCTTGGCAGAGGAGTGGCAGGGGGACAGGAAAAGAGGAACCTGCAACCCTTTCCATACGAGCAATTTCTGGCGGCTTCTGAAAGTAGCCTGTCCAAGGTGTCACTGGGGATGAGGGACAGCTACAGAGAACTGGTTAAATAATTAAAGGCCCACTCACTCTTATTGCTAAACACAAGGCCCTGGAGCAACACACTCTGTTAAGCTGTGCCAATAGGTAGTACTGTGCAAGCATTTCTGTGCTGTTGTCTATGACGTTTTGAGACATAAATTTAGAAAACAGCCCTGTTTTCCCACCTGTATCTTACTGTTTTTTTCCTCCCCAGACCCATTTTATAGCCTTGAAACAGCAAGTGAAGTATGAAAAATGAATAAGCTAAGTTAGGTCTGAGGAAGGCTGTCTCTTTTATTAGACCAACTGATATGGCTGGAGCAAACAGACAATCTTTCAGGCATGTGATCTATCTTTGGGTCTGATCTGCAGCCTGTTTTTTTCCCCAGCTGTAACTGGCAGCATAATAAAAGACATTTCTCCTCCTTAAAAGCCTTGCCTCACTTCTACTCTTAGACCGCAGTGTCTATAGCTGCCCAATAGAGCCACAAAAAAATCAGTCAGAGTTTAGGACCCAGAGCCCTGTTTTAGGCTTAGGGGATGTGACAGCTGACTGGAAATCAATGAAGTGTGATTTACAGAGCGTCATGATGAGACAAGACGAGGCTCAAAAGGTGCTGCCTTGCCCTGCAGACTCAATTGTCTGCCTTGATTTTTAACTAGATTTTATAAGTCTCCTACTAGGATGAGACCGATTTGCTTATGAAAACCAAAGATCAGATTTAAAGGAAAAGCCACAGTGGTGCCCATGCTTTGCCTAGTGCTCTTTGCACTGTGTCTGAGCCGCTCAGGTAAGTGCAATTTCTTCTTCTTCCAAGCTGAGCTGCAGGTGTTCAAGATATTTTTTTTGCTGGCCAGTTAGCTGCTGCTTGAGGGACAAGGTAGATGCTGGCTTCCCTTGGTCCTCTTAACGTTGTCCGACTAGCAAAGGAGGGTTGTATCAACTGCTGTCTTTGTACTGCAACCACAGCCAGTTTGGTAACAGGGCTTTAATAACTGGGGTGACAGGGTGGTCGCTGGGTGGAAGTTAACAAAAAAATCCTAAGCTTGACTCGCACTGCTAAAGGAAGTTATGGGAATACCTCAATCAACAGGAGGAAAACTGAAATGCCTCAGGCAAGCTGAGGAAAGGCTAGGTGTCCTGTCTGCATTTCTCAGGGTGTTTTGCATGTTTATTTAGCAAACTTCTTGCCCCAGCACACTTTCCCCTGCACCTGTAGGGAAGTGCTCCTGGCGCGGACCACAGAGAGAAACAGGAACCTGGAGGAGAAGGGAGATGCCAAACAGTGCCCATTACTTGTACATGCAGTAACCTGCCAGGGACCTTCCCAACGTTTGCCTTCTCTGTGCACTGTATGGTAAATTCAGAGATGCATCTGTCCTATGGCCACTTCTCTGTTCTTTCAAAGTCAGTTTGTTCAGTATTTTCTCCATGGCTTTACCTAACTTAGTCATCAGACCAGGCTTGATGAAAGGAGCTGCTAGGGAATTTTTTCTGCTTGATATGTCCTTCTTCTCACTGAAAACTTCTGCTCTTAAACTGTCCTCCTGCAAGTACTGAGGCTGTCTTATCAGGGCACCAGTCTTATTCCTTTGTGAGACTTCTCAAGTCTTTTTCATTCTTTTCTGTGGCTTCCCCAGAAGCTGAGAATCAACATATCCAGCCCCCAAAACAGCTTTACCACCTCTGTGCTATACCCTCTTAGAGCATTAGGGCCCTTGGAATTCATCTGAGGTACAGGCTGTGAAATGGTACTGTTTTCCTATGAGGGAGTTCATATGCAGCCGCAGACACTGTGCCCATGGGACGTGTGGTTGAGTATGTGTGTGCAGGGAGTTACTCTTAAATAAACACAGGGCAACATATTCCAGCATTAAGATTAAGCTGGTCTTGATCCTGCATGTTTTGGCATTGTGGATTTTTTCCGTTCACTAGATTTCCCATTAAATCTCCTGTGTTTAACAACCACTCACTCCTATGAACCTCTTAAAGGGAAAGTGAAAGGCCTGGGAGCTGGGGTCTCTGCAGAGACTCTCATGTGTCAGGGGACGGGACCACTGAGGGGGGAGAAATGTGTTCTTTCTCTTCCTTTGATTGCGGCTGCAATGCCTCTCTGGCATGTTCGGGCAGACAATCCAGTTTCCTAGGACAGACCCCAGACTCTGATCCCCATTTGCTGTGGTGGAGCTAGGGTTAGCCCTGGGGTAAGAATAAACCCTGGAGCAAGCAGGAGGGGCATTTGTGGTTTCCAGTTGGTGATAGCAGACCTCAAAGTCTTGTGACAAAGCGGCAAGTCACAGGGTGGCTGCAGAGGCTGCTATAAACTGTATGGACAGCTAGCTGCATGAGCGCTTCCCCAGCGGTGGGGCAGAGGGGGTGGAAAGGAGTATGAAAGCTCCCCCTGACCATCTGGCCTCCAGCTCACCAGGGTTTGTTAACCCCACCGCAACTGCACATCCGACAACAGAGGCTAGACCATTTGACAGTAAACTAATTGTTACCCCGTGAATGGCAGGGGTAACCCACCAGGCTTCAGGGTTTACAGCTTCTCAAAAAGGAATAAGCATTTGCTGTGGCTAGAAGAGGGGGATGAAGGTGCTGCTTGGACCTTGTGTTATCCTGAGAGAATCCGGACTGAGTTAGGGAATGGTTTTGTCCAATGGGACGGTCTAGTGTAGGAGCAGGTTTTTGCTTCAGGCAGACCTTCAGCTGGGCTGCTTCCTGCCAGGTTTCCCCATGCCCATGGCCTCACATAGACCAACCTGCCAGGGATTGCTCCACAGTGACCAGATTTCCCCTGTGGACCCAGCTGTCGGTGGCACACCACAGGTATCTGAAAAACCAGAACTCTTTCTCTCAGAGTGGCACTTACTGGGCTAGATACTTGCTGCTCACTCAAGAGTGAAAGGGAGCAACTGATGCTCTGAGGCTGCAGATCTTCTGAAGAATAATAAGAAAGACTGGGTAAGTATGTTGACTCAAGACAAAAAGGCCATAGAAAACAAAAACCTAGTACAAAGTCATCACTGCTCTGGTCTGATGATTTTTTTTATGTGTGTGAGCTGTGCCTGGGCCATCTTGCCCTCCCCTCTCCTCACCCTGGCTCTGCTGAGAGTCCGTGTGTCTGGATTCCTACAGATTCTACTGACAAGAGCTGCCCAGAGGCGGATTTGTCTCACATCATCGTTCTGCCTCACTTCTTCATGTCGTGCCATTCTTCACGTCTGCTTCCCAGCATGTCCCCACTCTCTGTTGCTCTTTTCCAGATGTGGCTGCCTTCAGTTCAATTGCTGAAAATGAGGACGCGCTTCTCAAGCACTTATTTCAAGGCTATCAGAAATGGGTCCGCCCTGTAGAAAACTCCAATGACACCATCAAAGTCCTTTTTGGATTAAAGATATCACAGCTTGTGGATGTAGTAAGTGCTGGGTTTGGCTTGGTAAAACATCCCTTCTTTTATAGACAGTCATGCATCCACCTAGGAAGGCTGGTGATGCCATTGGCTTTTGTCTCCTGACACATGAAATGAGAAGTGATAGTCAGGCAACAAAAAGCCAAGTGTGGTGCAGTGCTGGAGACACGACCTCCTGTCCCACGCACAGCATGAGCCATAATACTTGTTTATTTTGCAGCAAACCTGAAGGTCCTTTTTTCCCTGCTGTTCTCAGGGAATAAGGCCTCATTGCATCAGGTGTTAACCAAGCAGTCCATGCCAGACAGTCCCTGGTGCCTACATTTGCAGTTTAATGACATTTTGCAGCTACAGGGCGGATGTGAGGAAGGGTAGAGCTGGTTTGACCATTGCTCACTCTAAACAATCTTGTATCCAGGCCAAAGACAGCTTGTATCTTGACTCAGCTGGCTCCTCAGATAAGAGACTAGAGGCAAAAGAGACAATCTCATGGTTTTGCCTATATGGAAAGTTTCCCTTCCCTTTCCCTTCCATCACTGCAAAGCCTAGTGGAACTTGCACAGGGCCCAAAGGTACCCATGCAACAGTGGGCTCCTCACATCCCCGTGCCCCTGGCAGCATCCTCTTGTGCCATGGACAGCAGACTCTATTTTTGTGCTTTATTTACATATTCAGGACAATATTTCAGCTTATATCTTCCCAAACTCACTCCAGGCTTAGAAGTGTAGGGAGATGAGCTGTCCTGTGAGCCCACAACCATGTGTGTCCTGAACCCACTTGCTGGCTGAGTCCTGCTGCCTCCCTGCACTTTGACTCCTGATTCCTTTGGGCACTTTGGCTTCTGATTCCTGTGACATGCCAGACCTTGGTTTTCCAGCCTCAGGAGCTCCCAGTGAGAGCAGGGACAGCACCTAGGAAGTCCCTTCCCCCAACAGTGACTAAAGAGCCTAGATCCGTGGGGCAACAGGACCATAGGGATCTCCTCTGCTCGGCACAGGGCTGGACTCAGCAGGCCATCGAGTCTGTTTCTTGTCTGTTTTGGTAATGCAATCCTCTCTACCTTGTCTCACCCTAGGATGAGAAGAATCAGCTGATGACAACCAACGTGTGGCTGAAGCAGGTAAATTAGACCAAATCAGATCTCCCCTTTCAGTGTGGGGCTGCTGAGCTGAGTGGCCACCCTAGTCTGCTGTCCACTGTGCCATCCATCTCCTTTTGTGACACCAAGTGGCTGGACGAAAGCAGCACCATGTTATCTTGCCTGACATCTTTACTTTACTCCTCTCACTTCAGCAATTGCATAAAGGAGCAGAAAGGAAGGGTTGTGGACCTTTAGGAAATAGGGTACCCTTTTCTCCTGGTCTGCACCCCAGCTATGTGTTCAAGCCAGCTGCATTTCATGGAAGCAACATCTCCTGATACTGCAGTGGCTGTCCCTGGGATGCTGCATGTGCCCTGTGGGACTATCCTGTCACAAACTTAGAGGTCACACAAGTACTGTCTCTCTTGCCTGAGCTAAGAGTGATGCCTCGGATAGATTTCTTCTTCAGCCTAAGTAAAGAGAAAGAAAAGGCCAGAGTATTACTCCCCACAAAATTAAAATCCATGACAAATTAACCAGATCTTTCCTACCTAATTTTTTCTGTAAGTGACAATAATTTATACAAATGCTAGAAAGGTGCAAGTTGAGCAGTTAGGTCTTCTTTCTTCTTCACTCCTGAAGAACACTGCAATTGGTTTAGATTACATTGCACCATTTTATTGACCTTGTGACAATTATTTTAAGCTCCTCAGCCATGTGACTATCTATAAACATGTCAGCTGATTCTAGGCAGAGTACATTAAACATAAGCTGCACTTGAAATGATGCCATGGAAGTGGTTACCAGGGGTCACTGGGCTGGTGGAGGAGAAATACAACTCAGTTTTTGTTCCCCATCTGATATTCCCTGTAGTGCTGCAGTGAGTGTGAGCTTCTGGGTGGAGCAGGACCCTAAAAGGCCATATGGATGTTATATGCCAAGATGGTCTCTCCCTTGAAGAGGGAGAAGCTCAGGCTTCCCCTTGCTGCAGGGAGGATGGGAATATCCTCTTTTGCTGGGAAGATTTGTTCTGATCTGAATCCAACTGCTGAGACCCTGCTGTGAAAGAGCTGCGGTGTTACGTTTTCCCTGCCTTCAGCCACAACTGCAGAACTCCTCATGTGCACAGGGCCAGACCTTGGCTTCCTTACTCTGAGTACTCAGACAGACAGCAGACAACAGAGCGCTCCTGCAAAGGCAATCCCTCACCCAGGTCTGTCCTCTCCCTGTTCCCCTCCTCTCACCTTGCGGGCTGCAACGCCCACCTCCCCCTGCAGGTCCAAGCCCTGCAGTCTGCAGGTGTAACAACAACCCACTTCACCCTCCTCATTCTCTCTGCTCCTGCAAGTGTCGCCTGAAAGATTTTGCAGCCTTTCACAGAATATTCCTGGGTGTGACCATCACCTGCTTGTGAGGCCTGCTTCACCACTTCTGTTGTGGGAAATCAGGTTCTGCTGCAGGTTATTCTATGTCTGCTGCAGGAGGCAAGGAGGCACCACCATTCATGCATTGCTTCTTGAGTGTTGGGGAGGACAAGGATGAAGGGGAAGCCACTTTATCTGATCCTTCTGCCTCATGTTGTGGCTAAAAGAAGTACCAACTCAGGAGTCTGCACTGTAGGCGTGCTGATTTCCCTCGAAGTTTTGGAGGCTGTGCTCAGATTTTAGCCAAGGCAGCTCCCTAGGGTAACTCAGCGCTGTGATTTTCAGAAATTGCTGACCTGGGGTCTCAGTAGTTGTTACCATTTCTAATATCCCTTCTCCATCTAAAGGGTCGAGAACAGCAAGGCTTAAATGAAATGTAAAGGGAGCAGAAAATAAGTGAGACACAGGCTCTGAGTTTCCCACATGTAGATGTCCCCAGGAGGTCAGGCTAAGTGTTAAATACCAGTTGCCTGACCCAGGTGTCCCTGCTTTTAGAAGTCATGCATTCCTGTAGGGTCAGCGTGAACTGGTCTCATGTGCAATCCAGTGCTTGGGGAATTATTAGAGTTCACAAGCACAACAGCTAGGAACAGCTTAGGAAACTAAGGAGAATTAAAATAATATTTTTCCTTTGGACAGAGAAAAATGAAAAACACTTAAACAAACTGGAATTCTCTCATGACACAGACCCTGTCCTTATGCAGGAGCTGGAGAGGTCATGGAAATCTGGTCCTCCCTCTGGGTGTTTGAGATTGAGAGGGAATCACAGTTATCATTTCTTTGCAAGAGTTCAGCTTTTCTTAGGTGAGCAGAGCTTAAATCCAAGGATTTTCTGGTGGGTTTTTTCGTTGTTTTTTTTTACCTCCAACATCCACATACTCAAGATAGTGGGACTGGATGATGTGCATGCAGACAGACACACAAGATGCAAAGGAGCTTTAAGTGGTTGCTGAGAAAGTGTCTGGGTTCAAGCAAGCTATGGAGTCTACTTAGAGTTGAGAAGGGTTGAGAATCCAGGTTCAATGTTTCTTGGTCCTCTTACTGTGGGTTAAGCATCTGTCTGAGCGACAGCCCAGAGACAGGGATTTGGCAGAACTGGAGAAAGGGGAGAGCTATGCTGCTCTCCTTTGCTCTCTCCTGCTCCTGCTAAGGTCTGGAGCAGCTTGGAAGAAAGGGAGAAGAAAGGGCCTTTTGCATCTGCTGCTACAGTTCGTGTCAGCATTGTCCCTAGGGAGATTCCCATTTTAAACTACTCATCTTCAAAGTCGGCACACAATCTATTTTCTGCTCCAGTAAGAAGACACGCAACCATTTGCCTTGCAGACATGAAAGAGCACTTTAGCTGGGAGAGAAATCAATGCAGAACAGGAGGGAGGGAGGAATATTACAGATGCAGCAAATAACCCAGGCCAATGGGCTGCTCCAATTCAACTGCAGAGGGAAGATTGTATCTCCAGATGGCTCACAGGGTATTTGCTTCTCTTGCGTTAGTGCAGGCTACGAGCTGACTGTGTTGTCTGCTGCTGTCAGCCCTGACTATCCCCTTGCATAACAGGTATGTTTCCAGCCTAAGCCCTCTTGCACCTATTACAGGAAGTGTCCAGGACACAAGTGAGTCTGTGCCCACCTAACAGCCCAGGCTGCTGGAAACATCTGGTAGACGCCCACCCACAGAGAAAAGATCAGGCTAAAAGTGGTGTGCTCAGTCCTTGCTGCTGAGACTGAGAGCAGCAATGATCCCACTTCTCTTTCCACATCTGAACAGCTCCCATCCCTCCTTCACCAGTCGGAGGAACCAGGGGTGGAGGTCTGTGCCTGGTAGCTGACACCAGCCATTTGGCAATTCAGAGAGTGGGTGCAGGTACTGGGGCCATTAATCCTGCTATGGTACCACCCTGGACAACTGCTCCTTTGCTTGGGCCTTGGGCCAGATTTTAGGAGGCATCTAGCAGCCAGCCGCCCATAATGTTGGGCACCATCCCTTCCCTGCACGTGGAGGAAGAAGACACTTGTTCTTACTGTCTTTGTTTAGGTTCTTTACTGAGGCTCTGGGTTGCTGTCACACTGTAAAGGAGTATAGTAGGAAGTGTCTGTAGGTATAGCTGTGAAAACCATGTGGAATCAAAGAAGTGGTTGTCTGTATCCCTGGAGGTGTTTAAAAGACATCTAGTTTTGATGCTTAGGGACATGGTTAGCTAGGTTAATAGTTGCACTCAATGCTCTTAAAGGTCTTCTCTAACCTAAACAATTCTATTATCCTATAATTCTCAGTAAGAGGGGAACAATTTGGTGTGAGAAGAAGCAGAGACCATAACTTTTTGGTTCATTCTTAAGTCATGGAGGAAATTGCCCTGAGAAGGCTGAGGCCCCCACATCTCTGGGGAGCTCTTAGTGCTGAAGCTTAATGGAAAGTGGTTCATCTTCCACTTCTTGGTATTGACCACAATCTACAGCTGTTGATTCTTCTCTTTGCTGTTCTCATGGGCAAGTGAAAGCCCCCATCAATAATAGCAGAGAGCTGCTTTTCCACTGCATCTCCGTGGGGATCTCCAGGTTGCTAGAGCCACTTTTCTAGAATCTCCCTACTGAAAAACAAAAAGAAGAGAGAGAAATTATTCTGGATTTCAGCATGATGAAAATTGACAGGACTCCCCCTGCTTCTGCTTCTTTATGGTTGTCTCTTCAGGATTGTAACCAAATGCTTTACAAAAGCATCATATTATTTTTTCTGCAATAGCATGCAATTCTTTCTGATGAAAGAAGAGTGATTTGGTTTGCAAGGACAGTGTACAGATATTAGGAGTTGTATTCTGTTCACTGAAAAAAAGCCAGGTTTCCACTGAAAAAGAATTAAAAGCCATGTCTCAGTTGTGTAGTAGTACCCATGTCAGCTGGCTCTTCTATGGGGTCAGTGCCACCCAGAAACACTGTGGGCTGATCCTCAGAGGGAAGAAGAGGTGCCATACCCAAGGGAAGTGGCTCCTTCCTTCTGGACTACCCCCAGATGGTCTGGGCAGGGTGGTGAGTGAAGTGAGAGTCAAGTGTTCCCTGGGAGTGCCTGCCTTGAGGTTGCCTGCAAAGGGATGGGAGGCATGCTGGGGCCCACCTGTGGCTGGAGGCGCAGTGCTTGTGGAGATTAATATCTCCTGGCCATGCCTCCCTATCATCCTCTCTGCAGCTGAACAGTTTTACACCAAGTTCTGCCCATTGTCCTGTGCAATGCAGTTCCTTCTGAGGCAGGAGGTGGGAGGAGGAATGAGGCTGTTGTGTATGAGTGGGCAGAGGATTCTGCTGGCTTGTTACAGGAATGGATCGACCACAAGCTCTCCTGGAATCCAGAGGAATATGGTGGGATCACTGCCATCCGTGTCCCATCTGAGTCCCTGTGGCTTCCTGACATTGTTTTGTTTGAAAAGTGAGTAGCATGTCTTCTTGCTCCGGGTTTAGGCCAGAGATTAGGTAATGCATATCTGCCACCATGAAGCCTGCACATGCTGTCAGAAGGCAGCATGAATGTTGGCTTCCCTTGTGCTCCAGGCAATGGGTAGATCACAGAGCTGTGAGGGAGTAAGACTGGGGCAAACATAGTCCTGAACTTGGTGCTGTTTCTTTCTGTCCAACTCCCAGTGCTGATGGACGTTTTGAAGGATCCTTGATGACGAAAGCCATAGTGAAGTACAATGGAGTGGTGACCTGGATGCCACCGGCCAGTTATAAGAGCTCCTGCACAATGGACGTGACCTTCTTCCCCTTTGACAGGCAGAACTGCTCCATGAAGTTTGGGTCGTGGACATATGATGGCAGTATGGTGGACTTGATTTTAGTGGATGAAAATGTAGATAGGAAAGACTTCTTTGATAATGGGGAGTGGGAGATCTTAAATGCCAAAGGTATGAAAGGCAACAGGAAGGATGGGCTGTACTCTTACCCATTTGTCACTTACTCTTTTGTGTTGAGACGCCTTCCCCTGTTTTACACTCTTTTCTTGATAATCCCTTGCCTGGGATTGTCTTTTCTGACTGTCTTGGTGTTTTACCTGCCTTCAGATGAAGGAGAAAAGCTTTCATTGTCTACATCAGTTCTAGTCTCCCTCACTGTTTTCCTTCTAGTGATTGAGGAAATAATCCCTTCTTCTTCCAAAGTCATCCCTCTGATTGGTGAGTATCTTCTGTTCATCATGATTTTTGTGACCCTCTCTATCATTGTGACTGTGTTTGTTATCAATGTCCACCACCGCTCATCAGCAACTTACCATCCCATGGCCCCCTGGGTTAAAAGACTCTTCCTCCAAAAGTTGCCTCGGCTGCTCTGCATGAAGGGCCATGTAGATCGTTACTCCTTCTCAGAGACTGAAGAAAAGGAAACCACCTTGAAATCAAAGCTCCCAGGGAAGCAGAAACACAAGCAAGCAAAAGATGGAGAGAAAATTGTTATTGCCTTCCTGGAAAAGGCAGCTGACTCCATTCGATACATTTCCAGGCATGTCAAAAAGGAGCATTTCATCAGACAGGTAGGTGAAGGGAGAGCAAGGACGGATCACATTTTACTTGACAGCAATGTCTTCCAAGCTCTTACCTTCTTTGCATGCCTTTGCCTTTTCCTCTTCCTCCTGCTCACATCTAAGATGTGTCCTCAGAAGTTCCTCTGCTTGATAAATAATATGGTTTTCAGGAAAATGCATTGCTTCAAGCCAGAGCTTTGTTCAAACTGTGCTGAGAGGACTGCAGCAGAAAGATGACCAGTAAATTGAACATGCATTTGATGAGCATGCTGTCCTTGACTGAAGCCTTCTGTTCAAAGCTGAAATAATTTTTGATTAAAAAAAAGTGCCTTGAATTGCTTTTATAAATAGCTCTTTTGTGTGTGCAGGGTTGTGCCAGTACTCACAATGCAAAATTCCCCTCCTGAATGCACGCAATCCAAGCCAACAGAGCACTTAAGCAAACACAAGCCACTGGGACCACTTGTACTGGAAGTAATGTCTGCATCAAAGTGCTGTGATAGAGCCAGGTCCTGGCACTTCAAGGGAAATGTGGTTCTGTGAAAAAAAAATAATCAGTTCATTATGAAACCATCTTCAAGCTTGAGTCTTTAGACTTTCACATGTGCACTTAGCTAAAAGCTTTTGCACAGGCTGAAAGAAGTCTGATTACCATGAGTGTAAAACTGTGGAATTGTTTCGGTGTTTTAAGTGATTCGCAGCTATGGGTACCAAAAAGGTGATCTGTGTCTCTTTTAGGACGCAGCATGCTACAGACTTTTAACTTTAGACACAGACTTTTGGAGCTGAAATATATGTAGCATTGTCAACAAAGTACTGGGCTCATTACTGTTTTCGTTTGTTCTCCCTCTTCTTCCCAGGTTGTCCAAGACTGGAAATTTGTAGCTCAAGTCCTGGATCGCATCTTCCTATGGCTATTTCTGGTGGTGTCAGTGACAGGTTCCGTTCTTATCTTTACTCCTGCGTTACGGATGTGGCTGAACAGCACCTTGTAGAAAATGCTCCCACAGTAGCATACAAGTACAATGCCAAGAGGTGGTGGTGCCTTGGAGCTTGGTCCCTACGGTACAGGATGGAAAGCAACAGCAAGAACAAGGGAGGGCGATGGTAGCAGTGGGCACTGACTAGTGCTTTCTGTCTTCATATGACTTTACCAGTTACACATTTGGCTGAGATCGGAGAAGGGCTTGGTGCACAGCTGAGTCCTAAAGTAAATTGTGGTTGCACAATTGGGTTGTTAAGTATTTTACGAGCAGCTTGGTTATATTACAATAAAAGCCAAGATTATTAGTTACAATTGGAAATAGAACTTCTGGCACAAAGTTTATACTGAAAAGACAGATCTGTCAGTTAAAATGCTACTTTATCAAAGATGTTGTAGTACTAACCCAAATCAGTACTCAGTTTATCTACATTTCCAGGTGAAAACCACGAAGGCACTACAGATTGCTTTGTGTATGTGTCAGAACTGGCAATTGCACAGCATGTGCACAGAAAAAGTACAAATACCTTTTAGAAAGGGGTGTTCAAAACCTTGACTCTGTGACCTCATCTAGCTGCAGGATCCGCTCAACAGTGGAAGAATTGACTGCTCTGCCCGCCTCCTACCAGCCTTTATGGCATGCACACTTTTTCTCTCCTCTTGGCCATCAGGAAGCTACATACCCACTTTTCAATATTATTTGCAATTTTGCCTGCTGCTTTGTAATGTACCAAAAGGCTGAACAAGTAAGGATTTTCCCCATGCTCCACATTTAGAAATTATGATTCCTGCACCTGCTTGTTCACAAGGCAAGTGGAAGATCACCTGAAGCATATTGCATGGAGAAAGCTGGCTATGCTACTTCATAAGGCAGTAGGAACCTTCCTAAACAAGTTCAGCTGGAGGGAAGCTGCAGACAGTGCTTTCAGGAAATGAAACTTGGTGCACAAGTGGAGTGAGTTTCTCCTGTGGTGGGCTGGCTACCAGGGAGATACATTTTTGGGTTTTGACTTCATGTTTCCCGTGTAATCCAGAATATAATTCCTTTAATTCATTTAAACAGGATACTTCTGCATGTTTACAGACAGCTTTTAAGAGTATAAATGAGATCTAATGGAAAACACAGGTGAAGCTCTTACCACTTTTGCTGAGGAAGAGATTTGCCAACATGGAGTGTTTTAGAAAATCCCATTCAGAATTTTCAGATGTTTTCAAGGCTAGAAAAGGATTTGGAGACCCAAATCTTGACAAAGTGTGAATCAGGTGTTAAAGGTGTTAAAGACTTAGCTAGCCTTGAAACTTTCTCCCTAGGGATGGAGATTAGAAGGTGTTAAAAATACATGGCAGTATTCTTGTGCTTGGATTATGTATGCACACCAGACCTCTGTGAGTAAATATCATCCCATCTCGTTGTGTCACTACAGAAAGTTCTGTTCACTTGTGCAATCATTATTAATAAAGATGTATTTAGTAATGATTCCTGGGGTGAGGGTGCTCATATTCTGGACTTTGTTTTTGTTTTGTTGTCAACAAAGTCTAGACCATAGCCCAGCTTAAAAGCCTTTTCTCAAAACTATTCACACAGAGGGGTTGTTACATTCTTGGAAAGTCTTCATAACTTTTTAGCTCTGTGTGTGAGTGCTTCAGGTGTTTTGCTGGCAGGTGGTCTTATCCTCACCTTGAGACGTTTCAGTTGCCCACTCACAGGCAACACATGGCTACGCTTCACGTGGCTGTGTCTGATGCTAAGCTGCTTTTTCTGGCTTGTGCTGGTAAAGGTCAGCAGGGCTCAGGTCTCTTGAGTGGGAGATGTGTGAACACTGCAGAACTATGGCTTTTGGCCTATGGTCTTCCAAGCATTGCACCTGGGACTGCTACATCTGTAGTCTCACTACCCGTTATTTCCTTGTGCTGACTGTTTCTGAGCTTCCCTGAATCTCTTTGCTGCTGGCCCACAAATGCATTCAGCATATCCCACAGCCTGGCCTACCACACAACTGGAGAGGACATCTGGGCAGACAGTCCTCTGATGGGCTCCTTCCCTCTGCTCCATGTGCTCTGCCTGTGGATGACAACATTGCAAATTGCAAATTTAAATAAAAAAACACAGCAACCCTCTGTCTTACCACTGTCTCAACACTGCCTTGATTTCTGAGCACTGGTTTGCGAAGGCCTTGGCAGTGCCTGGAAGGGCCATGTGTATCATCCATTTACCAACAGACAAGCAGGGAAACAATCCTGTGGTCCTTTTAGTACAGAGGAAAGTGGAAAGATGGCCACCCTTGGGAAGAGAACATTACAAGCTGGTTGAGCTGTCGCATTGCTTCTGTGCTTTTAAAATTAGTTAATAGATGCCATCGCTCTTAAGGAAAGGACATTTCCGGCTGCTACTGCTACACTTTTCACTGGACATATAAGGGGATATTGCTAATGTGGTTACGGAGCTGAAGGAATGAGCCCCATCCAGCCTGGTCTTGAACACCTCCAGGGATGGGGCATCCACAGCTTCTGTGTGCTACTTGTTCCAGTGTCTCACCACCCTCACAGTAAAGAATTCCTTCCTAATATCTAATCTAAATCTCCCCTCTTTCAGTTTAAAACCACTACCCCTTGCTCCATTGCTATACTCCCTGATCAAGAGTCCCTCCCCATCCTTCCTGTAGGCCCCCTTCAGGTACTGGGGGACCTCTATAAGGTCTCCCTGGAGCCCCCTCTTCTCCAGGCTGAACAACCCCAATTCTCTGAGCCTGTCCTCACAGGAGAGGTGCTCCAGCCCTCTGATCATCTTTGTGGCCCTCCTCTCAACCCATTCCAACAGGTCTATGTCCTTCTTATGATGGGGACTCCAGAGCTGGATCCAGGACTCCAGGTGGGCTCTTAACAGAGCAGAATCACCTCCCTTACCCTCCTGGCCACTCTGCTTTTGATGCAGCCCAGGATGTGGTTAGCTTTCTTGGCTACCAGTGCACGTTCCACATCTGCTCAGAGGTGGGCCCCTACTGCAGCTTTTTCCAAGGTGAGATGTTTATTGTGTCCCCTACTCCTACTCTTTCTATTCAGCCAGCTACTTTCACAAAGCTGACAAGTGTATGCAAGGCTCCCAGTCTTGAATGTGCCAAACACAGCTGAAAATGACAAAAGAAGGATCCAAAGATTACTGGATGGGGGGAAGGAAGGGGAAATAGTACACTCAGAAAGGCACAGAACATGACTTTGTAAATCTTACTTTCTTAGGATACCAGGTTGATGAGCTAAAATGTCCAAACACTCTGTTTGAGGTCCAGAAGCAAGTCAGAGAGATGTGTAGTACTGTAAGTAACAAGGACAGGGAGGCCTTCTATGGGTATGGAGGGTATGGAGGTCTTCTAACTGGAGATGAGGAGCTGTACAATTGTGAATGCTTTGACAAAAAGCCAAGAATTTTGCTAAAGTCAGCTTACTGGCTGTGAGGCAGTAGCTGTCAGGCCTAAAACACCAATGCAGTACACCTTCAGCCACAATACTTTCATTGTTTGTATGGTCATAGATTGCAACATGAATGCTGGCAGCCAGATGTCTTTCCTGTAGAAACTAAGTTTTTGTGCTCAGAATGCAGCTTTCCTCTTCAAATGCCCTTTCTTTCCCCTCCCCTCCTTTCTGATTAGAGAGCCAGCATAGCAAATGTCATTTAGTAGCATCTCTAAACACATTGTATAGCAGGGAGTTTTTTAAAAATTAGAAATGCTTCAAAAAAGGAATGATATTTAATTGACAGGCTGACAAAACAATCCATGCTTGTTCATACATCTGTGTGTCATTCACTACATAATTATGCAACATCCAGGCGGATTACAGAAAACATATTTTTCTTCTAGAAAAGCATGACATTATACATTTCAGCTACTGGATTAAGACAGTTATATTCCTGTCATTCCACCTTTATCTCCAATATATACATTTATTCATACCTGTTCTTTTTATTATGGAGCATCAAAAAGAGTAAAAGGCCAGTCAAGGACTTCAGAAACAGGGAATCATACTTTCCAAGGATTGGTGATGTTCAAAGCAGAGGCCGACACATGGCAGACACTGAAAACAATGCACTGATACTGTACAATTAAATTTAGAGCCTTCTATAAGACTCCAATAAGGGCTTTTTACTCTTGAGGCCATTGGCTTTAATTGGAATCGTGCCTTTCAGGGAAGAATCCTTCAACACAAACCCACCAGGAATCTAAACAGACAAGGGACCTGAGAGTAAACTGTCCACATAGTGTAGAAACCACATCAGGTGCACATTTACAGAGTGATTCAAGATTAGGCGCACTATCATTGGGAACTTGGTTACACAGCAGCAACCTCAGCCCAGAAGGAAATGCTCCTACAGTTACAGGTTGGCATACACAGCACTGACCCATGAGGAGTCAGAGACAGAACATTACTGCAGAGCAGATGGGACCATGGTGCCTAGCCTTGCATAGGATTCATGATTGCCAATCTTCTCCTACTGGGATGTGTGTAATCCATCTTGGTCTTGGGTTTTAAAAACACAGGAAAACTCAGATCAATCCAATTCTGTCAAGTCAGTTCTGTCTGTGACGAGACAGACAAAGCTTTCCCTACTGGGCTTATGTTTGAGCATGAGCAAGGAAGAGTTTTCAGAGCAGAACCTGTGGACTGTTAACCTGACAAGAGAAATGTGGCTTGAAATCCTACTGGAGCTCCTACTGGGGCTGACCAAGGTCTTGGTATTCTGTATCAGGAAGCAAAGGAGACTTTGGTACCCTGCAAAGTTAAGTGGCAGATGAACTAAAAATGGCACTAAAGTGGCAGATGAATTTAAAAATCTTAGAAGCATGTAGGTTTCAAATGTAGATACCTTATGTGGTAACCAGAGACAGTTCAAGTATTTTCTGGTTTTCCATAGTGCATCCAGCTCATTCCTGTGATGACTCTAGGATGCTTCAAATTATGTCAGCAGGGTTACATACAGTGCAAAATATTAACTCAGTTTGTCTTCAACTAGGATTCAGTGCTTAAGGCCTGTCTGACTTCAAACATAAATGTAGACATGTGCTTTGTTGATCTGGGACCTTCATTTGTGCACATACACTGCAGAAGATGGGGACTCGTTATTTTAGATTGTATTGAAAATGTTACAGGGTCAAGGGATTGGTTTGATTGTACTTTTATTTTGATTATTGCCCTGACACAAGAATACTACAAGGAGCACTGGTCCAGTGAGTAGGACTCTGGTACTTCATTAAAGGACCATAACAAAAACTAGCTGTTGTAAGGAGAGAAATAGAGAGGAAATGTACATTAACTCAAAGGTGAGGAAGATTTCTGATCAGGAGAGCAAAATGAAGCCATGTAGAGTGCTCTTTGGGCAAGGCACTCAGAAATGCCTGAACTGTCCTAAAAGCCCCCTGTACTGAAACCAAGAGAAAAGCTCAATAACTTCAATCTGCTCCTGTGATCCGGAGTGTGGTTGCTATTGCTGATCTCACTGAGGTAAAGACAGGCAGGCACTCTAAAAATCCCAGGCATTCTGCTTTAGAGATACTGCATGCTCATCTCCTATTTCCAGTCCTCTTCTCATTCTGTTTTAGGTTGTTTGCTTTCCCAGAGGACCCTTCCCTCTCCTTCTCTTTTCCTCTGTGGCTGGGTGCTGAGGAGATGATGACCAGGGGGGTTATGTAAGAGGAGAGAAGTATAGGAGACAGTTCTGAACCAAAAATGAGACAAGAACAAAAATGGATAAAAAAACAGTGGATCAAGTTATGTATCCGCTATTAGAGGCTGGATAAAGAGCCCTGCTGTCCCAAACACACAAAGGATAATAAATACCCAGAGAAATACTCTGTCTATCACCATAGCTACGTATTTCCAATCATCTTCCACCTGCAAGAGAAACAAAACAAAAAAAAGGATAAAGCACATGTAATGTAGCATGGATTTGTGAGTTGACATTATGCAGTAGAAATGTCCCTTATGCTTCTGAATGGGAGGAAGAACATATAGGCAGCCAAGAATGTTGCTTGTGCTTATAGTTGCTGCAGTTTTTAAGTGTCTTTAGAGGGGGCTGATTTTCTAATAGGATTTACCACTTTTGGCTGAGAACATTCAACGCTGTCCTGATCTGCTGAATTTTTCTAAACAGTCGAGTCTGTTGTCAAGCTATGGCTGAGACGCTGACATTAACAAATAGGACCTGATCATGTGGTGGGTGCAGAGTGGGATGGTTTAACAGCAGCAGAAGCACCATAGCTGCACATCACTAGACCCTGTCAAAGGATGTATCCTAACAGCCCACACAAGTGACAGTTTGCTGTTCTGGCCCCATTTGCTACAGTGCCACACTAATCAAGCCCCATTGATTACAGCAGAGTGGACAGCTAGATGCATGGACTGCAGCAAAGCAAGGGCCTTGACTGAGTAAACCACAGTGTCATGCAGGCCAGGGTGAATTTTGTATGTCTGAGAGATACATCTTAGAACAACAGCCAATGAAGTTGCTGTCCTTTAAATTGTACCGATATACAAGGATCACTGCATCAGAACATTCATATAAAACTAGTGACTGTTTAAGAGCTGTCTGCTGAAGGATCTTCCACTTGTTTTCCCAATTTCTTGATATTTTCCTCCAGGAGTTTGCCACTGTGCTTTTTGTGAAAGAAAAATGCAGCAAGAACTCCAGCTGCTTTAAATGTTACCTCAATTTTTAAAGGCCCTTTCTTTACACAGGACTAGTGCGTGATATCACTCATATGGCTTTGTATGTCTGGCAGAAGCTGCCTGCAGAATCATTTCCTCAGAGATTGCGTGAGAACCAACCCCTTTTTTCCCCCAAAGAGAGGATTTTTCTCAAATGAAAAATCCTGCTTCCTTTCCCTAGTACTTTTTGAAAGGTGAGATATAGAGCTGCTGGTGTACACACTAGACTAAGAATTCAATTTCATGTGGCAGGAGAGATTTGCAAAATGCAAATCAGCAAAACTGGCAATCGAATAAGCTTTATAATCAAGGTGGCATGTTATTCAGACTGCTTCATGTAAAGCCTCTTCTTTTTTGGAGTGCATTGGAGGAATCAGCTAAATACAGTACATGGACACGTTTTCAGCAGCTGGTGTGTCAGTGACACCAGGGCTAAAATGCTGGGGTCAAACAAAACATTTAGGGCATAGTTACTAAGTAAGGCTCCACTCAATCTACATCCTCCTCTGTGCTGATAGTCCTGTCTTTTGCTTTGGGCTGGCATGTATTATCTACTCATCTTGTGAATTCAGTCACCAGACTTTAACTGTAGCCCTGTATTCAGAAAGTTATGGACTTTGTTTTCAGATGAAACTTCTTCAGCAGGACATAAATAAGAGAAAAAAAAAAAGTAATTTTGGGGTTGCATGAATGATGTTGCAGCATGAATTTGTGCTGCTTTCAACAAAATATTCTGGTAGAAAGACTAGGTCTCAATGTTTCCCCACAAAGTATTTGTTCAATCCAAATACAGCAGTATTTCATTTTTAAATGGATTTTTCCACCAGAGACCACCTAAAAAACTTCAAAACCCAAAGCAAACATTTCATGACAGATTCAAAGATAAACGTTTCATTAGGTTCTAAACACTTCTGAAAAACATCTTTAAGTGTCAGAGAATTCTTATTCCTTGTGAAGCCTGGGTTGGGAGGGGTGTCAGATAATCTTTCTTGGAGCTTCTTTTAGTTGCTTGTGTTTAGACCTAAGGACATGGCCTCAGAATTCTCTAAATTCCAACAAGCATCATTTTTTATGACAGGAATCCCAGTTAGGATGAAAGTTTTATAACCTCACACAAGCATTAATTCAAATGCCAAGTCTCATTTTTAAGTCCCTCTCTCTCTTTTTTAAAATCTATTTTTATTCAGCTGTCTTCCCCCAAAACTCAACTTTTATTTTAACATATGTTTGTCGTGGCTGAAAATACTGTATCACTGAAGCCACAATTAGTCAAATCACTGTAAAAAAACACAGAACACACCAAACTGAAACAAAGTACAGACAACAGCATTCTGAAAGTAGTATCTTTACCAGATTTATCACTGGCTGAGAATAGTTCTTCTCCAGCTGAACTTACTGAGCTGCCTAGGCAAGCCCTGTTCTTTAAAACGCAGTTCCTAAATTTGCTTGTTCCATTACTAACACAGAAAAGCACCCTGCTTGGCAAATAGCATGCTTAGTATTGAGATGTCTCTGCTTACAAGGGCTGAGCAGTTGGTGAGCAGTGGAAGAGGGTTGCTTCTGAGGATTTACAGAAGAAGGGTTGAAAGTGACCTTGAAAGGTCCCAACTAGTTTATCCCCTGCACTATGGCAGGATCAACTCTACCTGAACCACTGCTGATCAAAGTTCATTCTTCATGTCTGCAACAGGCTGATGCTCCTCTTCTTTTCCTTTGAAAGGTAAGCCTCACGTTTAATCTAAAACTGCCTGGCTGCTTAAATTATCTGCTGGAGACAGATGAAGAACAGATCACTTTTTTTTCCGCTCCATCCCCAGTGGATGATTTATCTCCTCCCTTTCTGTAGGAAACCTTGATCCATTCACAGGTCTCAAAATTTTCTTCACTGCCCCATCCTTCCTAGATCATGTTCTACTTGCTGGAAGTGTGGCCCCATGCCCAGCTGAGTGGTTATATCTCCCTTACCTCCTTGGTTTCATTTTGAAACCTCATGTTCTCTGCAATGAATTGAACGCTGCTAATAACTTCCTTCACTTCTGGGGAGTACTCCCCATGCTCTGCCATCCATTTAAGTGACTGATGGCTCAGTCGTCTTCTTTTGCTGGTAGTGAGTTCAGTTGCCTTATCACAGTGACTGCATCGCTGATCTTTTTGCAATTTGGTAACTTTGTGTTTGCTGTGCTTTGACTTGCCTGACGTATCAGCTGATTCTTTTTTGTACTTTCTGGAATTATTTTTTTTCTGCAGTTCTAGTGGCCTCTGCATCAACAGGACTTTGGGGAGCAGGCTAAGAAAGACAGTTTTTACCCATTTGGGCATTGTGTGTGTGGTTGGAGTCCTGTAATGTATATTCAGGACAAACACTGTGATGACAATTGACAGAGTCACAAATATCATAGTGAAGAGTAAATATTCACCTACGAGGGGAATTACTAAAGAGGTGGATGGGATTGTTTCTGTGATCACCAGTAAAAATACAGTCAAAGACAGGAGCACAGAGATGCAAAGAGTCACTTTCTCACCACAGTCAGATGGCAGGTAAAAAACTAACACAGTCAGGAATGAAATGAAGAGGCAGGGAATGATCAGATTTATAGTGTAGAACATTGGCAGCCTTCGAATGTAAAAGGAATACGTTATATCTGTGTAGATCTCTTCACAGCAGTTATATTTGATGTCATGTTTGTAGCCAGAAGCATCAACTATTTCCCATTCACTGTTTTCCCAAAAGTCGTTCATATCTACTTTGGATCCAATGATCAGAAGATCAATTTTGGCTTTGTCATAGGTCCAAGAGCCAAATTTCAGTGAACAGTTCTGATGATCAAATGGGAAAAAGGTAATATCCATTGGACAGGAACTTTTAAAAATAGCTGGTGGGGTCCAGGTGATCATTCCATCATAGCGGAGGAGGGCTTTGGTCTTGCCTTCAACTTGAAAATCTCCCACAGCACTAGAAAGACCAATGAGGTGAAGAAAAGAAAATTACAATCAAAGTCAAATGTCTTTCATGGACACTACAAGACAATACTTTTAAGAGAAAGGGTCATACTTATTATACAAGACAATATCTGGTTTCCAAATTTTATCTGCTGGTACCCGAACAAATTCAATGCCATCATATTCTCTGGGATCCCATCGCAATTTGTAGTCATTCCAAATCTGAAAGAAGAATGGACAGGCATTTTAAAACCTTGAACTATCAGCAAATATCTGCTTCTCAGATCTTCCTGTAAAACAGCAGACTATGACAAAGACTGTAGAAGGGGACAATGGTCTGAAAGACAACAAGGCCATGACTTGGAGAAACACTGGGCGTATATGAATACTGCTCACATTGATTTGCTACTCCTTCCTCTGTGAGGGGATGGGATGACAATTCTCATCCGTTGCTGACGTGCTGACGTCTCTCCTCTGTCTTACTACAGTAGTATAGCCCCCTACCTGTGCAAGGTTACCTCCTCACAGCAGAGAGGAAATAAAGGAAAAGAGACTTCTGCTGTCATGAAAGTGCACCTCAGAGGTTAAAGGAGGCCAGCATCAAAGGAGATCAACATCTTAATCACTCAGTCGGAGAGGAACACAGTGGTGGACATGGCAAGTTCCATGGCTAGGTGCTAGATTGAGGTGGACAGGGGGTTCCCAGGGCCAGAAAAATCTGAAGAAGAGCAGAGAGCCCTGACAGGAGCTGGTAGCTCTCATGAGTGAGGAGGACATGGCAGGGTGAGCATTCCTGGAAGCAACCATGAGAGATTTAAATGGCCCTATGGAGTGTGAGTGACCAGGAACACTAATGGGTCAGTCAGGGACTGGTGTGACAGTTTGTGCGGAATGGAACACAGGAAGGGCCCTGCACCCCGCTCAAAATCTCTGCCAAAATAGTTGGTATTTATCTTAGAGTTAAAACCAGTGCTACTATAGAGAAAGCTCCTCAGATGTGTAATGCATCCACCCAGATGGAAGTGGCAAGGGGGGAGACTTCAGTGCAGGTGGTAGGTTGCAGTGAGAGCCCAGAGTCTTCTCCTGGCAGAAAGGTAAGCACTTGCACACGATTCACACAGGTCAATGATCTGTTACGTCAACTGATTAAAACATTGTGTTAGTATCAGAGCGACAAATACATCAGCAGAAAAAGGAAGACTAGGGAAAATGTGGGCCTGATGCTGATTGATGTAGGTGCCCTGGTGCTGGAGGATGCAGAGAAGGCACAGTTACTGAATTTGCTCCAGTATTTACTGCTAAGGCCGCCCCCCAGCAGCCCCAGACCCTGGACGTAGGAGAGAGAGCCTTGAGTAAGAAACACCCTCCCTCCGTCGCAGAGTAGCGGCTTAGAGATCATTTAGGCAAATCTGACACCCACAAATCCATGGACCCTGATGGGATGCACCCATGAGTGCTGAGAGAGCTGGCAAATGTTATTTCAAAGCTGCTCTCCATCATCTTGGAAAAGGTCACAGAGAACTGGAGAGGTGCCTGAGGATTGGAGGAAAGCCAATGTCACACCAGTCTTCAAAAAGGGTATGAAGGAGAACTACAGACCAGTCAGCCTTACCTCCATCCTGGGAAAAGTGATGGTACAGCTCATCCTGGATGTCATCTCTAAGCATATGGAGGAAAAGAAGGTAATTGGGAGTGGTCAACATGGGCACACCAGGGGGAAGTCATGCTTGACCAACCTGATAGCCTTCTATGATGGGTAGATAAGGGAAGAGAAGTACATGTTGTCTACCTTGGCTTCAGCAGAGCTTTTGAGACAGTCTCCCATAATGTCCTCATAGGTAAGCTTAGGAAGCGTGGGTTAGATGAGAGGACAGTGAAGTGGATCGAGAACCAGCTGAATGGCAGAGCTCAGATGGTTTGTGATCCGTGCAGAGTCTAGTTGGAGTTCTATAGCTAGTGGTGCTCCCCAGGGGTCAGTACTCGGTCCAGTCCTGTTCAATCTATTCATCAATGACCTGGATGAAGGAAGGGATGGGATGTACCCTCAGCAAGTTTGCTGATGATACAAAACTGGGAGGAGTGGCTGACACACCAGAAGGCTGCCATACGTGCTGCCATACGGTGAGACCTGGACAGGCCGGAGACTTGGGCAGAGAAGAACCTCATGAAATTAATCAAGGCCAAGTGTAGGGTGCTGCACCTGGGGACAAATAACCCTGTACACTGGTACAGGTTAGGGGCTGACCGGCTGGAAAGCAGCTCTGCAGAGAGGGATTTGGGAGTCTCAACAACTTCTTGACTGTGAGGCAGCAGTGTGTCCTTGTGGCCAAGAAGGCCAATGATATCCTGGGGTATACTAAAAAAAGAGTGGCAAGCAGGTTGAGGGAGGCCATCATCCCCCTCTACTCTGCTCTGGTGAGGCCTGGATACTGTGTCCAGTCCTGGGCCCCGCAGTTCAAGAAGGACAGGGAACTAATGGAGAGCTACAGAGATGATCAAGGGAATGGAGCACCTTTCTTATGAGGAAAGGCTGAGACCTGAGGCTGTTTAGCCCGGAGAAGAGAAGACAGAGAGGGGATCTGATCAACGTTGATAACTATCTAAAGGGCAAGTGTCAAGAGGATGGGGCCACACTCTTTTCAGTGTGGCTCAGCAACAGGACAAGGGACAATGGGCACAATGTGGGACACAGAAAATTCCATCTGAACTCAAGGAAAAACTTCTTTACTTTGAGGATGCCAGAGAGGTTGTGGAGTCTCTGTCTTTGGAGATATTACAAAACCCACCTGGATGCATTCCTGTCCAGCCTGCTTTAAGTGAACCTGCTTTGGCAGGGGGGTTGGACTAGATGATCCTGAAAGCAGGTTGTAGAGAGGCAGGGGTCAGTCTCTTCTCCCAAGCCATAGGTGATAGGACAAGAGGAAATGGCCTCAAGTTGCAGCAGGGGAGGTTCCGATAGGATATTAAGAAAAAATTTTACATTGAAAAAGTTGTTAAGCATTCAAATGGGCTGCCCAGGGAAGTGGTTGAGGCACCATCCCAGAAGGTATTCAAAAAACAGGTTAACATAGTACTTATGGTTTAGTGATGGTTTCTATCAGTTAAGTTGAAGATTGGACTATATGATCTTAAAGGTCCCTTCCAACCTAGACAAATCTATGATTCTATCTCCAGAGGTCCCTTCCAACCCCTATGATTCTATGATTCTAATGAAAAAGGAGGTGCATATCCACACTAATGGGCAGTTACTGCCAGGGGACATGACTGGTTCCACCAGGGTAGCGAATTACCAAGTCAGGGGCAGCAAGGTGTGCCCAGCAACTCTCTTGCATTGCTGTCTTGCGCCATGTCACAGGCCCATGCTCCATGCTCTTGCAGCCTGCCCTGAAGATTCTAGTCAAAAGCACAGTATCTTTTACAGAAAGCTTTGTGCAGGCTACAATCAATGTCTGAAGGATACTGGTTTTGGTGGAAGTTGGCTTGTTTTTCTCAGCAGTTTAGGTCCTGTAAGGATCTTTGTCTATGTATAAAAGCTATGTATAAAAGCATCAGGAGAAATGGAGGCATGTTCCTTTTGCTAATAAATATTTTGGTTGCACTCTTCCAAATTAAGATGTCCTAGGATTGCAGAATTGCATATTTAATCACTCTTTAATGGGTACATTCAGCTAGGTTTATCAGATGGACCAATGATTGTGAAGTTGGAGGAGAGTATATTACACAGGAGAGATGGGAGAAGTAAGTTCTTGGAAATAAGAATAAAGAAACTACTTTTCTCAAATTTGGCTTTGGTTAATGGACCTTTTCTTTATTTGTACCTTTAAAGTCCTTGTTACAGAACAAGCACTTATTCTATAGATGTAGCTTACAAGGTAATGCACATTTCATCATGCCAATGCAAAATGCATGAGAAATGAAATGCAGTCACTTACGTGTCTTAGCCACAAATTTGTTTCCATAATCTGATTGACTTCATCCTAGAAAGAAACACAGGCATGCACATCTTCAATCCATAAATCAGTTACAGTATCCTGAGATGATCACAAACTTATTCTGATAAAAATGGAAAGTATAATTCCACTTCAGCTGATACCAGATTTTTTTCTGAGGGATGGGATGTACCCTCAGCAAGTTTGCTGATGATACAAAACTGGGAGGAGTGGCTGACACACCAGAAGGCTGCCATACGTGCTGCCATACGGTGAGACCTGGACAGGCCGGAGACTTGGGCAGAGAAGAACCTCATGAAATTAATCAAGGCCAAGTGTAGGGTGCTGCACCTGGGGACAAATAACCCTGTACACTGGTACAGGTTAGGGGCTGACCGGCTGGAAAGCAGCTCTGCAGAGAGGGATTTGGGAGTCTCAACAACTTCTTGACTGTGAGGCAGCAGTGTGTCCTTGTGGCCAAGAAGGCCAATGATATCCTGGGGTATACTAAAAAAAGAGTGGCAAGCAGGTTGAGGGAGGCCATCATCCCCCTCTACTCTGCTCTGGTGAGGCCTGGATACTGTGTCCAGTCCTGGGCCCCGCAGTTCAAGAAGGACAGGGAACTAATGGAGAGCTACAGAGATGATCAAGGGAATGGAGCACCTTTCTTATGAGGAAAGGCTGAGACCTGAGGCTGTTTAGCCCGGAGAAGAGAAGACAGAGAGGGGATCTGATCAACGTTGATAACTATCTAAAGGGCAAGTGTCAAGAGGATGGGGCCACACTCTTTTCAGTGTGGCTCAGCAACAGGACAAGGGACAATGGGCACAATGTGGGACACAGAAAATTCCATCTGAACTCAAGGAAAAACTTCTTTACTTTGAGGATGCCAGAGAGGTTGTGGAGTCTCTGTCTTTGGAGATATTACAAAACCCACCTGGATGCATTCCTGTCCAGCCTGCTTTAAGTGAACCTGCTTTGGCAGGGGGGTTGGACTAGATGATCCTGAAAGCAGGTTGTAGAGAGGCAGGGGTCAGTCTCTTCTCCCAAGCCATAGGTGATAGGACAAGAGGAAATGGCCTCAAGTTGCAGCAGGGGAGGTTCCGATAGGATATTAAGAAAAAATTTTACATTGAAAAAGTTGTTAAGCATTCAAATGGGCTGCCCAGGGAAGTGGTTGAGGCACCATCCCAGAAGGTATTCAAAAAACAGGTTAACATAGTACTTATGGTTTAGTGATGGTTTCTATCAGTTAAGTTGAAGATTGGACTATATGATCTTAAAGGTCCCTTCCAACCTAGACAAATCTATGATTCTATCTCCAGAGGTCCCTTCCAACCCCTATGATTCTATGATTCTAATGAAAAAGGAGGTGCATATCCACACTAATGGGCAGTTACTGCCAGGGGACATGACTGGTTCCACCAGGGTAGCGAATTACCAAGTCAGGGGCAGCAAGGTGTGCCCAGCAACTCTCTTGCATTGCTGTCTTGCGCCATGTCACAGGCCCATGCTCCATGCTCTTGCAGCCTGCCCTGAAGATTCTAGTCAAAAGCACAGTATCTTTTACAGAAAGCTTTGTGCAGGCTACAATCAATGTCTGAAGGATACTGGTTTTGGTGGAAGTTGGCTTGTTTTTCTCAGCAGTTTAGGTCCTGTAAGGATCTTTGTCTATGTATAAAAGCTATGTATAAAAGCATCAGGAGAAATGGAGGCATGTTCCTTTTGCTAATAAATATTTTGGTTGCACTCTTCCAAATTAAGATGTCCTAGGATTGCAGAATTGCATATTTAATCACTCTTTAATGGGTACATTCAGCTAGGTTTATCAGATGGACCAATGATTGTGAAGTTGGAGGAGAGTATATTACACAGGAGAGATGGGAGAAGTAAGTTCTTGGAAATAAGAATAAAGAAACTACTTTTCTCAAATTTGGCTTTGGTTAATGGACCTTTTCTTTATTTGTACCTTTAAAGTCCTTGTTACAGAACAAGCACTTATTCTATAGATGTAGCTTACAAGGTAATGCACATTTCATCATGCCAATGCAAAATGCATGAGAAATGAAATGCAGTCACTTACGTGTCTTAGCCACAAATTTGTTTCCATAATCTGATTGACTTCATCCTAGAAAGAAACACAGGCATGCACATCTTCAATCCATAAATCAGTTACAGTATCCTGAGATGATCACAAACTTATTCTGATAAAAATGGAAAGTATAATTCCACTTCAGCTGATACCAGATTTTTTTCTGGCTTTTTTCAGGGGGCTTACATATTGTGCACAGTGATGTGCAGCTTTACTGAAAAATTTTTGGATCTCTACTGGAAAATTATACCCCACAAATATCAGACACCCAAAGAGCTGTACTCTCTTTCCAGAAGCCTGAATACCTGGAGAGCACAAAACTTAAAATTGTTCTATGCAGTACCAGAGGAATAAGATTCTGCTGGTGGCTATGTGTTTTGTTGGATTCAGTGTTTACAAAAGCTCTGTTTACACAACACAGTACCAATCAAGATTCAAGGAAAATGGCATCTCTACTACAGCATTCTTGCATTTCTATGCAAACCCCTAGAGCAGATGCACTCAACTAGCACTACATTAGGTTACTGTTGTTCTGAGGCCTTCTTTTTACAGTCAATTATTGCTATTGCCAATCAGCAACGAATTGGGAAGCTGCTGCAAGAAACACAAAAATAAAAGCTTGGATCCTGTTCTAACGAGTCTTCAGCCCAAGACTTCAGAAAGACTCGTATTACATATATTTATGAATGCTGGCTGACTTTCACAATTAAAATACTTGCAAGAATATTGCTTTGGGTAGTTCTTAGCTTTCAAGCATGCGGACTTGAAAAATTTAGGATACTTACAAGCCAAAGGTAGAAAATGTTGCAGATGAATTTTCAACATTGTGTAATGACAATTAAGCACAAAGATCCCGCCTACTGGTTAAGCTATCTAAGTTCTTGTAAAGATCATGTAAATCTTGTAAAAAATCTTGTAAAAATCATGATTCTTTTTTGAGAAAATTCAGCTGATTTACTTCTGGTGTTCCTTTTTTTCTGCAAATGTAGCACTGGGAGCCGGGGGCTACAATGTGAGACAGAACTGCTGAAACCTACCAAACTACCTGTAACATGGAGACAAAATACATGGGAAAAAGGAACTCCAAAAGGTGACAACTGCCTTCATCATGAGGAGTTGCACTGCCTTCATTTACACTCTCAAGATAACTCACTTCCCTGGCTGCACTTGAATACTCCTCCTCACTGTTTGCCTGTCACTTCATTACGGACTGAGCTAGGTACCGCAGAATCAAAACTCAGCCTCTGTTTTGTGGATAATTTGCTTCACAGAGCAGACTTCAGCAAGGGTTAAAGTCAAGTCTTTCTTCTTCCACAGTCCCTCTGCCCTGCCCAGCAGGTCTGCCACCTCAGACACACTCACCTGTGTATACAGTGCACCCCAGAACACAGAACATTCTTCCCCAGCTCCATGCTTTGAAATACCACTCTTTAGGGTGCATGTCTCCTGTGTTATTTTGACACTGAGAAATGATACTGGCCCTACAGGAGAACTGGGCCACATGTTACACAAGGTGGACACAATCAGGTGTCTCTGGAGTGGGTTAGTAGCCCTGTGGAGAGTAGACTTGGACATTTGGTACTACTTCTCTGGGTGCCACTGGCTGCTGCCTGGAGCAGAGGGATTTCACGCTACAGAGTAAACAGAAGAATCTGTGTGGTTCGAACCTCTTCTTGGAGCAACTGGAGCAGCTCAGCTGACTGAAAGAACAGCAAAAGTCTCAGCATGTACACATATGCACACATGATAATGTCAGCTATGAGAGTTGCAGGTGCAACCATCACAATTACATCTGCTGCTTTAGCAACTGGCGTGTGTTTCCAACTCCCCACAAATGTCAGGAGTATTCTGTAATGAATCTTACCACGTTTGTAAGCTGGGTAATGGCAACTTCAAAATACACTGTGACAGGATCAGACACATTTTCCACTGGCCTGATGAACTGGTTGTACTGGGAGAAGAGTTTGTGAAATAACCGTTCCTCTGATTCGCAGGCTGTGGTATCTGTGTTGGTAAAGATAAAGAACAGCTATGTCAGAGGTAAGGAAGAGTGAAAGAAGGTGCTGGATAACATACTAGCCCATGTGGTATTTCTGGATCCTGTGCTTGTGACCATGTATCACGACAGAGGAGCACAGAGAGAAGAGGGCTGGAGTACGCTGTCAGTTGAAAGCATCCTCCTGCAGAATATTGACCACTGCTCCCTGTTTCCTCATAGCCCATGGGCCTCCGTTTGGCACACCCTGATATCAGAACAAAGCAGACTAAGGTGGTGACAAGTAGAAAATGAAGAAATATGGTGGATTTAATCTTTGTGAGTTTTTATGGTAAAACTGAGAGTCTTTGAAAAGCATAGCTACTTACTCAGAAATTAAAAGCTCGAGGCTGCAACTACTGGATCAAAATCTATGTCTGGGACTCTGATTAGGGGATTATAATGATGCTTCCTAATCTTAAAAACTATGACTACATTTTATCCTCGCGTTTGCTATTTCAGCTCTTTAGATAGCACAATTTTTGCTCTGAGGGAATTTCATTTATTAAGTTTTGTGAAAAAAAAGAAAGTGGAAATATTAAAATTTCTTATAGAATAGACCCATTCTTTGGGAAGAAGCAGATCATAGCTGTAACCTCCAGTCAGTGCAGGACAGACAGATGGCTTAGCAGGAATAAGGTATATGACAGGCATTGAGCTGCCTCACTGCAGAGTCAAGAATAATGCTCTTAATCTGTTACACAAAGCCCAAACCTGAAATAATTATTTTCACAGTGTTAAAGGCTACAGACTTACATTTCAAAAGGAAAGATCAAATCATGTGGACTCTGGCAACAACAGCTCAGAAGAATACTTCCCTTGAATAACTTTGCTATTTCAATGCACTACTATAGTTCAGCACTTAAATTCAAAATAATTTTTAAGGCAAAGATTTAGAACTTGCTGTATTATCAAAGCTATATGATAATGCCAAAGACATTACTGATACAACTAAGGAAAAATAAGTTTTTCAGATAGTGGTCACCAGTTTTTCATCAGTCCCAGACTGCACTAGAACACATTAGGAAAGCAATCATGATAAACCTTGATGACTGCAAATATTAAACACAGAAGTGGTTTGGGTCAAGCAGCGTGGCCTCTGGCACAGCACAGTACACAAATTTGTAATTTACATTTCCTTCAATGAACACAAGGGCCTGTAGTTGCATAGATGTCCTACAGGGAGATGCTTAGTCTCAGCATATGGCACTGTTTTCATGCTTAGACAGTCCCTCCCCTGTTTTTGAAAAAAATGACATTTCTACCTCTAAGGTAATACAAAGCATGCTCAGATTCAGGGGATTATCACAATTAAAAGTTGAAATGTTGGTTACTGGTAACTTACATGTATGGAAAGAAAATTACTGTAAAACTTCCATTACTTGATGTTTTGTTTCATCATTTTAGCATTGTCTGGAGCAGATACATGAATGTCTGTAAAGTTTGGATGTTTGTAGATCAGGTATTGTGCCATTCAAAAAGGAAGTTGCAATTTCCTTTTCACATTTCCTCCTCCACATCCATTGCACTGTGACTAGAACTACCCTACTGTGAGAACATGAGTTTCTTACCAGTGTTATGACTAAAGGTGGTTAGTCTAAAATTATGCTTCATTTGAAAGTTTCCTACTGGCTTCTTAACAGACATATGCTTTAAAACAAAGTAACAGAAACAGACAGGTACTTAGGCCTTTCATTTTTATACTTCAGTTACAGATCCTCATCCCATTGGTGCTGCTTTAAGACAATCCCTTATGTCGTGCTAACACAAGCCCTGTAATTCATACATGCCTTGGTCATCAGCAGAAGTGAGACTTTCAAAAAAGATCTAGTGTCTTAAAAGCAAAAATCCTGAAGAACCTGAGACGTACATGGAAATCACTCCAGCTTATTCAACCACAGATCACAAGCAACAGTGAACAAAAATGTATCAAGTTCTCAATTTTGAAGGTGTGAGTGCAGAACGTGCACATCTTTAGCCTGCGTTATTTAAGCAATTGCAAAATTCAAGCCCCAAATGAAATTACTAGAACTCTATTACATATTCATTCTTTGCTAGAAACAGTTCATCAATTAAGTATAAAACCAAAATTGAGTTTATGTGTGAAAAGTAGTATTGCTTTAGGTCTCTTAAAATACTGCTGAAATGTTACAGATTTCAGGTTAGAAATAGCAGGCAGAAGCTTTACATTTAATTCATTCCATGAAGACAGAAGCAGAGACAGTGAATAGAATATATTTTAGAGACTAGTATCAAAGAGAGCCTACCTTTAATCAAGGATGTGAACACGAATGCCCACGCACAGAAAGCAGGGTAGCCCCAACATAGCCACCTCTCAGGATGCATTGCTAGCAGCAGAATAGAGCTTCCTTTTGAGAAGAGAGGTTTGGGGAAAGAAACAGAAGGCAAGAACACATAAGACGGTAAGTAGGCGGTACAAAGATGGATTTCAGTTTTGCATTTGCAGCAAACTCTGCAATGTGCTGAGCAAAGCTAAGCCTTGCAGAGTTGCTTCCACTATCGCCAGGCTAGGAGAGTGCTGTGCAGAGAGAAGGGAGTCAGGGAGCATCCGATCAGGTGACTTTTCACATTTCCAGTCACCCGCACCCTTGCCTCTGGGGGAATGTATGAAAGTGCAGGAGAGAGAGAAGGAAGGCAAGATACAGGGTAGCCAGCGCAGAGCCGGGGGAGGAATTCACTCAGCCCTCCACCCACTGTTTAAAGAAAACTCATCCAAAAGCACTTGCTTTAGCTATTGGCTGCTGCTCACCTGAGTGAGTCCATCAGAATACGTAGAGATAAAAGAACTTCAGGTTTTTGGCTGAGAAGTAATTCTACAGCAGGAGAAATGGATGCTATATGGTTTTAACACCTCTACTAGAAACCGTCTGTAACTTGAAATAACAGCATCATGTGATAGAATTGCTTGACAGTATTCTGAGTGAACAAATCTAAGGCAAGCAGATTTATTATTGCCATCTGACAGGCACAACTAAGTATGCAAAGTTCTGTCCTGACAGATAAATCAGCTCACAACATTAATTTTTCTATCATTTTTTTTGTGTGTGTGAGTGATTCCTGTGCCAGCATCCTGCTAGCGTGGAAACAGGGCAGTAGAATAAAGGAAAAACATCAGGTGCTGTTATGGAAGTTCCTAACAGGCCAAGTTCACTGGAACAGAGTGTTACTCCTAATCGCAGAGGCTAAAACAACAGAGATCATGAACCTGGACAGATTAATGCATGTTCACTCCTCAAGCGTTCAGTATGCACATCCTTGCAACAGGAATGCCTGAAAAGAACCTGTAGGCAAAGGGTCTGAGAAACTGAGGCCCTGTTTGACTGCAGAGGGGTGAAAGGCACTGCAGATTACTTGGTGACATCCAGCCTCCCAGAAAGCAGCTCGGACAAGCTATTTCTTTTATGTGTGCTCAATCCAGCATGAACAAGTCCAAGTCACTGGATGAATGGCTTGATCAAAACAGAAATGCTGCTGGTTTCCAGGCATTTAGGCTATTTTGTAAGTGTAGAGAGAATAGCCATAAACAGAAAAAGGAGGCCCCTCCTACTGCAGAGCACAGAGGCAATAATGCAGCTCAGGATGAGAAAGTGCTTTAACTTCTATGCAAGTTGTTCAAATAGGGGTAGAAGGGGAGAGGTCTGTCTGAATGTAAGGGACTTAGTTTTGAGGGATGAAAAGGCAGACTTGGAGGATTACTAACCGAAGTCCTACTCCAGAGCTCACTGGAGTCAGGGAGCCTTGAGCAGAGAGATGAGGAAACCAAAAAATCAAACCACAAGAGTGTTCCAGGGTCTCAGAGTCATCTTGCACCCTCAAAAGCAGCAGCAGAACATAGTTCTAAGTGCAGACCACAAGGCATGGCTACGAGGCATCTCGAAGCTGAAGGTAGATACAAATTCTCCTTACAAATGATTTTAAGATGAAAATGTGAGTTTCTTACTTTCTTGTAAATTTCACTTTTGCCAACATTTTCCAAGGAAAAAAAAGTAAAAAAAAACCAAAAACCATATTGGTTTGTGTCTGCTTTTTCCCAGGTTGTTTGTTAGAGTGATGTTAACAGTCCAGACCCACAGCCTTGCAGTTCTCTCACCTTATCCAGTGAAGCTCATATTTCCTCCTTGAACTTATGCTGCCCATGGTGCATTGTGGCTAATAGAATTACGCAGGCATCACAGGACGCCCGTGGCTGGCTGTAGTCATGGCATATGCACTCCTGTTAAAGTCCCGTGCTTGTAGAAAGATGACATATGGTAACATACTCAGATGCGGTTTGAAAACAAACTGACTCCAAATTAAAATGTTTTGACATTTCCAAACAGGCCAGGGGATTGGGTGTGAGAAGTGAACATACCTGCACATATCTGAGTTAAACTGCAAGGTCTTCAGAGATAAGAGTAATGACTGTGTTTCCCCTGTGAAGAGAAGGAGACCAATGGCAGGCCAGCTAGCAAGGTGACCCTTACTGCCACACTTGAAGAAAAGAGCTGCTTTGTTGTGGGGAGGAAGGGACTGCGTAAAGCAGGCTGAGCTAGGAGACAATACCGATCATTCAGTGGGTAGATGGCAGGAGGGACTGTGCCATACCTGCCCTGCTGGTAGGACCCCACTGGAGTGGGTGCTGCCTTTGGGAAAGGCTGAAAAGGAAGGCTGATGTTCAAACTGGGCCATGACAAGTGCCTGATGAGGCATCCAGAAGGAGAGTCCAGAGAGATCAGCTGAGGTACTGCCTCAGTGACAAGGAAGTCAGCTGGAAGCTGAGCAAAAAGTTTGTGAATCATTGCCACCAGGGAAGACAGCTAATTGAATCTAAAATGAACTGGCCAAGGAAGGCCAAGCCCAAACAGCAAGCACATACTGACAGGCTTTCACTCTTCGTTTGCCCTCTGTGTGTGGAAGAAGGGGCTGATTAAGTCCCTTCACATGTGCTATGACTTTCAAAGAACTTACTGACTCAGAGCAAAATTTCTGGCCTACTCTCTTCAGGTGAGGTGGTTCAGGCAAAAGAGGACAAGCAGCTTGCAGGGATGCACAAAATCTGCCCCCTATAAATGTTTCTAGTATGTGGATACACTTCATCACTGGAGCTTGACATTGTAAAATTTGCATGGTGTTGACTGTGAAAAAAACATCACGACCCATTTCAGGGATTGCTTGTATGCCTTGTATCTCTGGCTGAAGGCACGTGTCCTGGTGGTACTGCAAATCCTAATGACAGATCCTGACTTTTGGAGTCAGGCCTAAATTTGAATGGCTGATACTTCCCTCTAGAGCCAAGTAGTTAACTGTTGGAGAGCTATATCTGAACTGTTTGTAGGCTTTTACAATGCAATGTGTTCACCTGCAGTGGGGCTGTGATGAACACGTTTTCCATGGTCATCCCTTGGTGATCTAGCCTCTGCCTGCCCCCTTGCACTCACTTTCTTTTCATCCCTCTCCCCTTCACCTTGCATCTGTCCATGTTGAGAACGCTCCAATTACCAAAAAGCCTTCCACTCTCAACTTGCTGCTCTCCTCCAAGCCTGTTTTCTTCTTTTTTTCTCCCCTCTCATTTTTTTTTCCTTCTCTCTTCTCTGTCTACCCACCTTCCTGCCTCTCTTGTGGACAAATCACCAGAGGATCGGCAAGTGACGAGAAAGACAGGGGAGGGAGAGAAGAATGGTAAATTTTCTCCTCCTTTTCTTATTCCTTTTTGTTTCTGTTACTTTTCTTTTTATTTTCTCTCCCTTTATGACTGCTACAACCTCTGTCTTTCTAGTCATCCCTCCATTTCCTCTCTTTACCCTGATATCTGAGATCACTTTGTCTCCCGCTGTCTGTGGTCCCTGCTTTCTTCCTGCATTAATGCTTTGTCCTCTGAAGCCTCCTCTGCCTGCCATGGCTTGGTTTTCCAACACTGAAAAGCACAACATAAAGTACAAACATGTATTGGCTTCCACAGTTGCCAAAGCACCACCTCTCATGTTCACACTGAGACATGCACGCATGTCTCACTCACTCTCAGACAACTCTGAATACATGATGTTTTCCTCTCACCTGCATGTATGTACATGTGCAGAGCCATGCATTTCCATCTATGTGAAATATGGCATATGTTCTCCATAAATGCTTGACATAGAATCATAGAATCGTCTAGGTTGGAAAGGACCTTTGAGATCATTGAGTCCAACTACTAACCAAACACTGTGAAAAACACCACTAAATCATGTCCCGAAGCACCACGTCTACCCATCTTTTAAGTCCCTCCAAGGATGGTGATTCAACCACTTCCTTGCGCAGCCCGTTCCAATGTTTGATAACCCTTTTGGTGAATAAATATTTTCTAATATCCATCTTAAGCCCTCCTTAGCACAACTTGAGGCCATTTCCTCATGGAAATCCAACCGGCAACACCAGCCTGCCAAATCCTAGCTTATTTAGAGGACCAGTACGATTTCCTACAGCTGCATAGAAGCAATACCAACAGCAGCACTTCTCCATTATTTTTATTTTTTATTCTTCTTCCGTGGCATGAGAGCCATTGGGAAGTAGAGAAGCACAGCTCTTTCTGGGGTACTTGAAGATCAAAGCACTGTACTACTGTTTGCTCTGACCTTTCATATGGCCTTGTGTGTGCCCATTAGTCTCATCATGGCAGAAGGTTTCTACTAGCCTGTGTTAGTGCGGAGTGCGTTTGGGATCCCCTGTTTTTTGGATATCACTACAATAAACCAGGCTAATAAGCACGTACAAGAACAATATTAGGAATCCAGTTTTCACTGTCTTTTTGGCAGACATTCAACAATCACAGAAGCACTTCCAGGTCACTGCCCTTTGCTGAAGTGCTAGTACAGTCCAGCTTGTCAAGTCTCACAGCCTGAACAGTGCATTCACACAGCCAGTTCACCTCCTGCACTCCCCGCAGCAAAGCCTGCATCTCACTCATGCATAAGTCCAGGGCTTTGGCTTCTCTCCTGCTTTGGCACCTCATGTGCCAATAGCGTTTCTCTCCAATCCAATAGGCACTGACCAGTGGCTTCTAATGTGCAGGAGATAGAACGCATGAGTGAGGATGGACCTTCAATGGCTATTGTGTGCAAATGTGCACAGTAATGTGCTCATGCTTCAGGACCATTTATATTACAACATTTGTTAGACAGATTTTAAATGATGGGTGGGAAAAGGCCTTGCAGTTTGCATTAATTAGGGCATTTCTATATATTCAACACAGAATTTCTTCAGTTCAGTAGCTTCCTCTGTGATACAGTCCTTTCTTCCTTTTGTCTAGAAAAGACTGAACCACAATACCTCTATCAGATTCCCCCTGCTGCCCCGGCTATAAAGTCTGGATAGTCAGGCAGTCGTTACACACTGAGTAGCCAGGTTGATTAACGGCGATGCCTGTTCCCATGATGCTGCCTGCTAAGCAGCTGCAGTACTCAGGGTACAACACAAAGACCCAGCTTTTATAAACTAAAGCATCACTAATGGCAACATCCTCAAAGCACCTTCCACTGTACA